GATCCACTCGAGAAAACCAGAACCCATTGAATCGGAGCGAGTCTTCGGCGAACCACTCGTTTCGTTCAGATTCACGGCAACCGACGGCTCAATAGTCTGCTGCAGTGGTTCCGACACCACTGAACCCATGGCTTCACTCGCTTTTACAACCAATGGCACCGATGGTGACAACTCTTGTTCGCTGGTCTCCTGTGGCGGCGAAGACGTGCCTTAAGAGTTGACAAATGGTTTCATTCAATGAACAGAGAGTTAATGGTATGACGTGTCAGATGTAAGTGACATGTAATGAGTGAATGGCTGACCAGAAGTGGTGGTGTGAGGGGTGAGTGGTTTGGTGGCGGCATTCCTCGCGTCTTTGTCCGTCAAGAAGTCGAAACCCGAGTCTCCGTTAGTGTCTGAACTCGTTTCAGACATAATCGCAAACAATGCCTACAATTGAGTGATAGGTTTGACACGAATTGTCTGCAAAATGCAAACCATAAACACATAAACACACGAATCACTCAATAATAACGTCTATTCAGACAAATATTTGCGTTTTGCGTGTCTATTGAAAAACGATTGCAAAACCACTTCATTGAATTGAATTTAACAGTAATTTGAGTGCAAAACAGATGGCAAAGGCATTTGGATAGTGACACCGATGGCACTGCACTCTCACTGCCTTACACTACCTGTGATTACAGTAAAGTTGGATACTTTGATGACTAGAAATGAGTAGACAATTGATTGAAACAAATAGTGGTTTTTAATGATAAATATTGCAGTTTGTAGTGTATAGATAGCATTATCATTACGTCATTACTTACTTAATTTTTGATTTTATTTTCACGTTTATTTATTTACTATTTTACACTGTTTACTAGTTTTCTTGTTGCTAAGTTTCGTTACCAGTTATCTATTATACAAAGAACCAAAATCTAACACTTTTTCAACGTTACCGTAAAACAGGTAATTCTCTACATATTTGACAGTTAATAATAAGTTAAATATTTGATAATAGCTTTTGTCAAACAAACAATATTTCAATTGATGTCAACTTTCAAATCAAATCAAATGAATTTTTGTATATTTATGTACAATTTAAATGTCTTTTGTATTGTAATATAAATTATTGAAAAGACCGGTAATGTGTAGTTAGTTGTGGTTTAGTTTATGCTATTTTGAGGTATTTTATGGTAAAAACTATAAAATCAATGATTGGGTTTCTGTTCAATTGTGAATTTCCTCTAAATATCATCTTTTAGTTAATTTGATGTCACTTTCATCACAATTTTCATAATTTGTTTCATTCTCACTGTTCTTCAATAGATTGATGGCCCGCTCCAGGAGTTTGTCATTCAGTTTGAGAACATCTGCCATTCGCTTCTGCTGTTCAATCAAATGAATCATTAGTTTTGAGAAACCATTGCAAACAGTATTCACTAAACTATACCTTCATTTCAATATCTTTCTTAGCCTTTGTCTCGGAGTCCGTCTTCGCATTCTTGGTCACAGTTTTGCTCTTACAATACGATTCGGGCACTCGATGTGGCTTTTGGTCATAAAAGCACTCAAATTATAAAACACATCAATCATTACGTATTCACTCAACACATACCGAATAAGTTCTCTTAATATTGAGTTTTGTCTCAAACATATCGAAGGCATAGCTTTTAGTATTAACAACGAATTGAATGGATTTCGAGGGAATCCTAGCGAACGACTTCGCGTGTCTGTCCACTCGATATTCACAGATATAGACGTCCTCTTCTTGAAAGCCTTTGGGCCGTCCCTTAACGTAAGTACTGGCGTCGAGAACACAACAAATGCCTTTGACTTCTTCGATGGGAACCCACTCAGTGAGCGGCGACTTAAGCACTTCATTGTCGTAGAACTTTCTGGAGGGCTCGTGATATGTCTCACTCGGGCGCAGGTAGTGGTGACCATAGAGTAACTTCTTGCCGCTCTCTTTAATGGCCAGATTCTGAACGCGAAATATTATATAATCTGTTTTACTGTCTCCGCGCAAGGCTTTGATGGGCGATGTCTTGCGATTCGTGTGTTTGTCCTCTTCTTTGGTGCGGTAAATGTAGACACAGTCGCCGGTCTTGATGTGCAGACCATTACACATGAGTGTCAGGTAATACATATAATCCGTTTTCCCGTTGTTGGTCACATGCTCTTGACTCTGAGGTAACGGTATTTCCTATCATATTAGACATATAACCGAATTAAATATATGCCATCATTTGATTAATGCATTTATAACTAACCGTTGGTACGGCCCGGGGCTCACAGACTTCACAGAAATACGAGTCAATCGAGTCTTTCACTCCAACACACTCGCAGTGTTGCCATATCTGTGAACATCAAACAATTTGTTAAAACTATTGTATTTGTTGATAACTTATCTCCTTTTCATTAACACTAAAACAAAATATTGATTACAGCTAATGCTTAATACTGTAGTATTTATAAGATAATAAAGAATAGCAAAAATAGTCACTTCAATGGTTAGAGTCTAAGATTTTGAGAAAGAAAACTCTGAAATTCGTAATTCACAAATAATACTCATTATTTTGTTGACCCTTTAATGTAAAATAAATAGGATGACCATGCAAATAATAACCCTTGAATATTTTCATTTTGTATGATTAGAATTGTTGTTTTGTTTACGATAATTATAGTTTTACAGGAATAGGTCTATTTTAGGTCAATATGAAAACATATGACTTGAAAAACAAAAACTGTATCATATGTCTAATAATTCAATATTTGTTTATAGCTCTTGGGTTAGACTTACTTCACATTTGTCGCACTGAATCATCTTTCCCTCGTCGCGAAGTATACCACAAATACAACGAATCACTTCCTCCTCCTCCTCTTCAGAGACCACAGTTTTCAGTGAAATCAATGGCTTCTTATCGTCGCTCGCATTGTTCTGTTGGACAGCATTTGGATTCGCAAACACTAATGGATTAGAATTAGGGACTGATTTGTTGGCCGAGTCTGAAGCCAACACTAATGAGTCACTCTTGGAAATGGCGGCCACTGAAGGCATATCTTGTGAGTTCTGCTCCGAAACACTCGAACTATCAGCCGATGACATGATATCTTCAATGAATGGTTTCTTTTCTGATATTATTTTATAGAATTCCGATTTCAGACCATTCACTGAATCCATTTCATTGTCGTTCATATTCTCGTTGTTTTCACCACTCGTTAAAGAATTGAATGTTTTCATGAATTCGGACTCAAAAGTGTCGACACTTTTAAAGAAACCGCACTTTATCTGAGACTGAATCTCCGACAGATCTAAACATTTGGACAAAACGTTTGATTTCTGTTTATTAGTCGATGTATTTGACGATGACTTCAATTCAGATTTGTTTGCCTCCAAAATATCCACATTTAGATTCATTTCATTTTGCTTTTTAATCATAAGATCGCAAACATCTGTAAAAATTTGAGCCAATTTTGCAGTTCTGGTCAACTCTTCATTGCTCTCAGCTTTGGCTAAACCTCTTGTCCTCACAGAACGCGAAGAATTTAAAGTCATTAATGTATTCATAAGCGAGTCATTACTGCTTTTAAACTCTTTTCCTTTAACGAAGTCCTCGTCTTTTGAGCTGAGTTTGCGTTCCCTCTCATCCAAACCCATCCTCTTATTCCTCAAACGCCGCAATTTCTCATAATTTCTGAGTAGAAAACAGCGATGTCTTAGAATATAACAACTCGACTGATGAGACAACAGTTTCATTGGATGCAAAAGATTTGGTTTCCATAGACTCTGTTTGTTGTTATTATTAGACGTAGAGTTGGAACCGCTCTTCGTTTGGTGCATATCTTTGCGTCGATTGCGATGACTTTCCTCCGACTGTTTAGTGACAGATATGTCTTTATTTTTCGTCTCATTCTTTTCCGTCTTGTCTTTACTGCCGGAAGAGTTGACTCTTTGAGATCTGCCGCCGATATAACCGCGACATTTAGCACTTCCACATCTGCAGACCTGTTGTGTGGCGACGTTGAAGTTCTGGAAGTTGTAGTCATACGACAGCTCTTCGTTGGGCAGAATATTTCGTTTGGCAAATAAGCCGATTCTGTAGAGACCATTGACGGACCACTTCTGCATTTCGCAGTTGGGTTCGCAGCTGTGGTTCACAAACCGTCCCTCATCTGCCATACGGTAGCCGTCGATCACAATACCGGAGTCGATGTTCAGGCAGTAGTGATGCAAATCGTTTTGGTATAGTTTGGCCATTCGGTCCTTAAATCTCGCTTCACTCACTACTTCCCCGATGTATTCCAGAATAAACTCTCCGTTTTTTATCTGTTCGGTGGTTCTAATACCCCAACCCCTGTCGCCAGTCATAAACCTCTCTAAGCCGGGACTCCAGTCGTGTTTCTGTATCCTCTGGTTCTGACAGTACTCTTCTGTGGGACACAACTGAGGCGAGCATTCCTGATACATGAGCCGATTTAGGCAATCCATACCACAACTCACTTTATTGTCATCCGAGGGCGAGGGCTTCTCGCACGAGCAGACGGGCACCGATTCGCCAGTCAATGGCTTCACATCACAGAAGACATTGTTTTTAATCCGTTTATAGTTCGCCGGATTCTTCAGATTCGATGATTGGTTTTTGTCGAACTGATACCAGAGATCAAACGGCAACACAAAGTCCTCCAAGAAATCGTAGTCCAAAACCGGTAATTGAATCAATTTCTGAACCGCTTTTGGCTCGTCTTTCACCACAATTTCCATGTCTTCGTCGGCCGATGTCTTCTCAATCTTTTGGCCGTCATTTGAGTCGTTGTTTACTAAAGACTTATCGGTTTTAGAGTCTTCGGAATAGTTACCGGACTTTAAATACTTCTTATACGGAATATTCCGCTGAAAACTCTTTATGCGATAAATCTTTTTGTTGTTCACCTTTGACTTGACTGAGGGCTCGGTAACCATATAAACGGGTGCATCGGATACACAGCTTTGTTCGCTGAGGTAGGCCTCTGAAGAGGACACGGAGTCTATACTGGCTTTAGAGAGTCGGCGCTCGTGTTTAATACACTTCTTAACGTTTGGCGGCTTTTTGGGCGGAGGAATGCTTTGAATTTTGTCTAATTTTTTTACACCATTAGACCTTTTATTGGCCGCCAAACTAGTGGACACTTTGTCGTTAACCACTGGTAGGGAAGGGTTTTGTTTAACATTTCGGTTTTTACTGTTAATTGTATTATTCTTATTGACGGCCGACTTGTGATTGTCTTGAATGGCTCGACACCTACTGCTTGGATGACTAGAATTGACATTTTTGTCACTCGAGACAACAGTTCTCTTATGACACACAGAGTTGGAGTGGTTGGCGGCCACCACGTGATGTCGTTTGCCATTGACAGCAGCGACAGTTTGCGTGGGTTTGACTGGATTTGGTGGTGAGGGTTGAGCGGAAGTGCGGACCCGTTTGCGGGGTTTCGTAAACCCGGTCTTATTGACGGGTCGCTTACGTTTGGTGGTCTGAGAGCGCACTTCTGTGCCGTTGGTTACACTCTCCTCCAGAGTTTGTGTGCATTGTTTGTCATGTGGTTTACAGTTAGCGCTCTTATCACTGGTCGTTGACTTGAGATCTCGTGAAGTCTTTGCAGACTTTGTCGTATGACTCGTATTACTCGCACTTTGTCTCGACGTCTCATTTGTCGGCTTCTTAGCACTCGATGAACGTCGAGATGTCTGTCTTTGTGCGGAAGTAGTCTTATCTCTGGCTTTACAGCTACTCCTGGATCTCATAACGTCTTTATTGATATCACAAGTACTTGTTGAACAAATGGGTAAACAATGGCCCGATTGGTCTAAATGGGAAGCGATGGTCGCATTGTTATCGACACATGGATTGTCGTGTTTTCTGCGTTTACCACTCACTTGTTCACTGCTGTGATCACTGAAGTCTTGTGAATACTTTCTGATACACAGCTCTATTGTCTCATCGATAGAGTTTTGCGCGAACAGTGATGTGCTTACTATAGGCGTACCGTTTGAATAGTTAGTCAGTCTATCACTGATTGCTATACTGTTATGAGGAGCGGATAATGCAGTGCCTCTTATGGGCCATAAACTCATCTGTTGTGGGGAGGAGTCGTCACACAGGTTTGCATTGCGCTTATCAGCACTTGAGTGCACCACTTGCGAGCTAACTGTGCCACTGGCAGCACCGGCACCGGAGTTCCCTTTTCTAACTTTATGAGACACTACTTCACACTTATTTGACTTGAAATTTGTCTGCTTTTTAGCGCTTAATGCATCGGATTTACATGAGTTTGTCATACCATTAGACGAGTCCTTCGACATAACCTCTCCGTCACCACTGAAACCCATTTTAGGACTGCTGTGAACGCCAGACCTCTTGCTCTTCGATTGGACCCCAGGAGATGTTGTCGTCGAACTGTTCCCATGACTTACTGATGAATATCTTCTCCTCGACTCTACGCTATAATCACCGGTATTTGCATTCAAATGATTGGTTTCAACATTTGATGTCATATTTGTTTTACTATCACTTAAATATAATAATCTTAATAATCCTGAGCTCAACTCAACTGACCTTCACAGACAGTCACACAAACAGTTCACCCTCTGTCGCTGGCTACGTAACCAAACAAACGAAAGCTACACAGACACCACTGCGAAGAACAGCGGAAGTCTTTGTTCGTTAGCACCGGACGGACCACAGGTCTGAATCTGAAGCGAACTGTTGGACACTTCACTCTTCTTCTCCGCCTTTTTCTTGTCATTCGTTCCTTCGGTTTGATTCATACTATTATTGACTTTCTTTTTACTCGACTTCTTAGCGGCCGATGGTTTGGTTGGTTCGACGCTTGAGTGGAATGAGTTAATGATATTCTGCTCGTAATGATGTTTCTTAGACTTATTGTTCTTGAGAAAGTTCTTGGTCATTTGGAATACAGTGGGCATCGGTTGCCTCGTAAACGAGAGTCTCCCTGACCGCCAGTATGCAAAGCTGTTAAATTCATCAAAATTTGAGAAACACTCTAAGAGATAGTCACTGTTGTGAAGGCCTAAGCGAAGTTAGAGATAGAGGAATACAGCTCTGTGATGGTGTCGTTTGCGATGCTTTCGTTTCTCGTGTTTTCGCGAATGTGAAGACAATGAGGTGGTGCTCAATGGATATCCAATTTGTGGTGAGCTTTGACTGATGGTGTGTATTGTCTCCGATTTTTCACGAAACAATTCTCTGCTTTTCTTGGTTTTATTGCTTTTAGATTTCTTATTATTTGAAACAATTTCATTGATATCAGAATGGGTTTCATTTTGCAAGACATCACTGGTTGACTTAACAGAGCTTAGACAAAGTATACTTAACGGCGGAGAAAATGAAGAAACATGAAGTTACTGTCAGCGTTAGCAAACTGTTAAACAACTTGAGAACAGAAGTGAAAGAAACGAGAACAAAACTCAGGGTCTACTTCTAGTTCGCCTCTTCTTCTCATTTGAATGTTTTGTGTCGATGTCTTCGTTCGCAACAAACGCTTTGTTGTCAACCTTTGGTTCTTTTGATTTGCTTTTACTTTGCGATCGCTTCGATTGCTTTTGGGTTTCAAGCGATTCCGTGGTCTTCTTCCTCTGCCGTGAGCTAAAAGACGGCGAATCGGTATTCGTTTGATGAGAATTGTTGTTGTGATGCGATTGTCGCCAATCACTAGAGTTGGAGACATTGAAGTGTCCGAACTCGAGCTCTTCGGTCTCATTGGTTTGGAATTGAGAACAAATCGAGTCTTTTATACTTCTGACCAGAAGTTCGAAGTCATCCTCGCGTTTGTGATTCATGAATGGCTGATGTCCTGAACCGGAATGACATCTCGGATATGGCAAGAAGTTGCGACCCATCATTGGCATCAAATTCAATGGAACTCTTAAGTCCAGGTTTGGACCAACTGTGGGGTCACTGGGATTGGAATTATTGAGAAATATTTCAGTCAATTGAACCACATTTGAGGCGTTGGATGTCAACGGAGACGACACTCTCTCGGGAATCGCATTGAATGAAGTGGTGGCCAAGTGTTGATCACTCTTGAGTCCTAAATCCAACGAATTCTTATCACCGTTTGTATCATTTGTTTGCATTATGTGTTTGGTCTTCGCTTTCGAGGTTTTGTTCTTTTGTTTTTTGCGAGTATTAGCTGAACGAGAGTTTGACTTTTGCTGAGAATTTGCTTGTGTTTGAGAAGTGGAAGCACTACTTGACAGCAATTCCGTGTCACTGATAGAGTGGTGCCTATGAGGGGACTCTCCCTGTGATTGGATTCCACTGTCGGGCGAAGCCTTTTCGTGCTGAAGAGATTCGAGACTTGAATGACCAATATTTGTGTCATTCATATGAGGGACTGAGTGAAGGAAATGCGATATTTTGTCCGAACTGTTAATTACCGAACAGTTTTGGTTCACAGAAATCTGATTAATCACACGATTTAAGTCAGAATACATGGCTTCCCGTGTATTCTCGTTAACACTATGAGTCTTCTCGACGTTATTCGGGATTACAATTGAGTCCATCTTATCGTTCGGATGCATGGCTTCCAAAGTTCTTGACTGAGATTTTTTAGTTTTGTTTTTGTTTTTCGATTTGTTTTGAGATTTTGATCTCTTGTTGTCGTGATTTTTAGTGCTTTTGTCTTTTTTAGACTTCTTGTTCTTGGATTTCAACACTTTGTTACCACTGTTCGCGGCGGCGATGGCATCGGTGCCCACGCTTCGACTCTTACCGGAAGACATTGACTTAGATTTATTTGTGGCCACAATGTCGTCGGTGTCCGTCTGCACCTGAACCGCAACCGTAGCCGTTGTGGGCGTCTTATGGCTTTGTTGAGCGGATGCGTTGCCAGTAGGGGTGAGCGGGGGCTGTCTGTTCTGCAAGTGAGGGATTCGGTAACTGCGGAGTCGTTGCCGCTCTTCGGCGGGATCTCTCTTCCTGTGCGCGTACATCGAGTTCGACGACTGATAGTTCATCGGACTGTTTATACTGATGGCCGGACTGTAACAACTACTCTCACAGGAGACCGACGACGGCTGAGATAATGGCGTCGAAGGCATCAGATTTTGTTGAGAACCCACTTTCAGACCATTAGACGAGTCCTCACGAGTATTCGCGTAACCCTTACTCGTTGTCGAGCCCTTCGATTGCTTAGAGGTCTTCAACTGATCCCCTTTTGTCTTGGAATCTATATCACTGTCGGACGACTCACTATCACCGGAAACACTGGAACCGCAAGAGGAGCCCGAAGACGAGCCACTACTGGAACAGCTATGGCTATAACTTCGACAACTGCTGGAACTGTGTGAAGAGGAATACGAAGAGCCACTACTGCTTGTACTGCAACTCCTCGACGAACAGTCAGAATACGTGTGATTCGAGTCCCGGCTGTGACTTCGGCTGCGACTCGAGTCGTAAGAGCTGTCGTGGCTTTTGCGGTGATGTCTGTGTCTGTGTTTGCGATTCAGTTTCAGAGGAATGGGCTGTCGTTTGCCTTTCCCCGCGTGTCTCCAACACTGACAGTCCAGTCCGTGGTCTTCCTCGTTGTCTTCGGGGTCGCGAATAACGCCCGAAACGGCCTCAACGACACTCAACTGGCGCTTCGGCGCCATTGGAACCGCTTCTGGCCTATGGTTGGGAACCGAATTAGTTCTTCGCGTCGCTATCCGGAGCTTAAGAGCGCCGGCGTTGCAGTCGTTGTTGCCCTTAACGATGGAAAACTCGCACTTCTGGTTGTGGTCCGCATCCGAAGCGCTCGACACCGACTCCGAGTCCTCTTCGCTCTCACTTTCGGACAAATTCTTTGCAAATGATTTCAAACTCTTCTTCGTCTTGACGTTTGTGGCGACGAATCGATGGTTCTTATCGTTAGACGGGTCCACACGTGGCGAGCGATGGCCACTCGTGTCGTCCGAATCGCTTCTCTGGTCTTCGGAGTCATGTCTCGCCTTTCGTCTCGTTTTGGTCTTCCGATCGAATCGTTTACTTCTGGATGTGTTTTGTGACAAATTGCTGGAAGTGTTGGTCACATATGATGTCAACAATGGATTCGATTTGTTTGAAACCATTCGCATGGCTGAAGACAATCACTGCATCGGATGAAAGACAAGGAAAACGATTAGATGATGTGTTTTGGCACTCATTTGGAGACAAAAAAAAGAAAAACAAAATTTTTCTAATTTATCCGAAAATGACATTCAATTGAATAGATTTGACACTAATTTGCGTTCAATTCGTGAAATAAAAAACAAGTAATTCATTGACTAATTGGTGCGAAAGTGGGATCAACTGCGAGAAGTGCACCAAATGCTAAGACATCGCAAGAGATTTAAAAGAAAACAAAACAAAAAGTGCTATCAATTGGACACCAATTGTCTTACAGTCGAGCGAACCGTTAATCCGATGAATGACTGATTGGTTGTGACATTGATTCTGACACTCAATGAGCGTTCACTTGACGCACAGTTTCATAGATATGACGCTAAATACAATTAAATTGAATGCAATTATAAGCCATTAGTGAGCATAAGATGAGAGCAAAACGTATTCAAAACATGGCTTCTCTTCTTTCAAAACATTACACACAATACCTATACATCGGTGGCGCCCTCTCCACACACGCACACCAACAACCCCTTTGGACACCGGTTCCCTCTCACCGACCATTCCTTCAAAACTTGTAAAACTTTCGCTTTATTTAAGAATTTCATAAAAAAAACTTTTCACTACTCTTTACCATCGCTTAAACGGATGTAAAACATTTATATTATGTTATAATTGTATAGTATTTACACCTAAATCGTTAATATAATGTGAGCTAAGACTGTGTGTTGTATATAAACTTAGTTTAAAGCCATTGTTGGGCGCTATTGGCCGAGAGATCCATGAGTTTCCAACAGGCCTTTGGGTCGAACTCATTCTGATCGCGACATAAGACCCACACGTAATGCACGCGTAATATCTTCTCCTGAAATCATGAAATGCGTTAGAAATGAACGAAACAAAGAGTGCAGTGAATGCCAGACCGGGTCGCCTTCAATCACATTGCCTTTGGAGTCCTTAACACAACTGATTTGTTGCGCCTGGAAAGTGATGATAAGGACGGGCCCGTTCTCCATGATCTTCCCCATCGCTAACTATTTGTAAACTTCTTTAGTATACATTCAAACCAATTGTGTGTTCACTTACATCTACGTTCTCAATGTCCAGAACTCTTGACTCAAATATATAGCCTAACTTTTGGGCCTGTATTATAGGCTGAGCTATTTGGTTGTATGGCTGTCAATGTAATCACATAAACAGGTGTTATATACCGGCAATCAAATACTTTACAACTATAAACCACTTACCGCTTCATTACACCAGTCTTTGAGGATCTCAAGATCGGGTCTAATCATTGCCTCCAATATATTGGGGATGATATCATTTTCACAGTCTTTCAAAAATTGGCTTTTATCGAAATTGGGATCACTTTTACAGATTTCTGTCAACACTTCAGACAATTCTGTTTTGGAGAAGAGTCCGCCGAACAGTTCTGACATCTTATCAGTGATGAGTCGAGAGGCTCTCACCACAGGATTATCGCTCTCATCGTATTTCATCTTCCAGTCAAACACTTTATTAACGTATGGATTGTTTTCTTTAAAGTTCTGCCAACTCTGGTAAAACCGACTGTCTTTGTGTAGCTCTACACCTGTCGCTGTTCTGAAAGATTAACCATTCAATTAAGATTAAGATTAAGATTAAGATTAAGATTAGAGTTGCTATTCAATCAAAATGTAGTCCAAAACCAACTCATTTGGTTCGATGGGCTTCTGGTGGGCAAACATGTCCTCCGATTCCTCTTTTCTTTTCCTCAACTTTTCCGGTCTTTTATACACTCTATCAGACTCTCCGATCTCTTCCCTCACCGCTTGCACTGTCTGTCCGTTCAAACGATTCATTATAAACTCATAACAAGTAAACCGCAAATGAGTACAAAACCTGTGAAACAGTCTTAAAGGCATCGCTTTGACTGATTTGTTCCGTCCCTTTAGCCAAAGCCTCGGCCGCACTCTTCGCCTGTTTCGACAACTCATCGGTCATTTCGAGTCCTTTTTTGCCGATCTCTGTCTTCTGGGCCTCTTCTAAACCCTTTGATATCTTGTCTTTAAAGGCCTCCAAATGCTCTTTGATTTGTTGCGAACCCTTCGCTGTTTCCGATTCAATGGATTGCTTTCAATGCAAAACAAATGCAAATCAATTGATCACACATTCAATGCATTCACAAATCAATTACATATTTATGTCTCGCTTTCTGAAGCGCTTCCGATTCCTCCAGTTTCTGAGCCTCTTCTCTGAATTTCTTGAGGCTTTCCTTCATTTCCTTATTCTTCGACATCTCTTGTTTGATGTTATCGATGAGTTTCCCGAAGAAACCCTTGGGTTGCGGTGATTGCGAGGCATAAGACCGGATCTATGGCTTTAATAATGAGATAATGGTCTCAATTAACTGTTAAAATGTATTACATTTGTGGTGTGAAGACATTGTCGACAATAAGACCACCGATAGCTCTGCAGACAAATGGATTCATGCGGTGATCGTCTGATGAGAGCCGACAAACAAACGGATCTATGGGTCGATCGCAATAAATAACTCATTGAACTGATTGTATGGCTTTATATTGACTTAACACTGAAAACAATAGTCAAACAAAATATACATCTAATCGGACAACCATTCAAACAATTGAATGAAAAGTAAACACAAATTAAATGAAATAATCGTTAACTTGAAAAATGCTTAAAAGGCATGTGTTTTGAAAACATGAGGCAATCATTGCCTGTCATTGGAGTAGACTTTGGGTTATTCGCAAACACTGTCTAATGCATGGACTCCAACATTGAATTCAATTCTTAGTCTTAACATCTTTGATATAAATTTAAATAAATAAATTTTACAAAGTTCAATTTGGTTTTTCAATAATTTTATTTAGTAATTAATCAAAAAAGAAATACACAAAAAGGAGATTATTTATCCAATTTTAATGAATATCAAGTTTTCGCAAACTTTGTATTCAGAACTAATGCATTACACCATTCATTTTTGCAAAATATTTTTTATTTTATTTGAAATTATTTTTTTACTTTTTTTTAATATTCATTGAATAAGTGCTGAAATAAAGAGAACTAAATAAAAAGTAATAGAAATGTAATAATAATAGCAATATCTTGGGTCCAAATCTTGTCAATGGACTTCTCAATTGAACGGAAGGCCACATCAATCCAAACGGCTCTTCAGTCTTCACTCCTTGTATTCTGCGAAAGGAATTGTCACTCAAAATGATTCAATGGCTCAGACATCGCAGACACTGAGCAGATGTCTAGAAAGCAAAATAATTAGCAAAACAGCGATTCATATAAATCAACAAAATATCTATTTTTCATTTCACGTGTAAATTCATTATTTGTTTTATAATATAAAAATAGTTTAAATAATATCTTAAAAAGTTTTGACAACAAAAAAGTTCACAAAATATTGCAGAGCGAAGACAACTCCTGTCCCCTAACGATAACTTCCGACTCTTTCGTTTCGTTGGTCTCTATCGGTTCCGACGACTGCACCGTTGCCTGTGTCTGAAGATTCGATGCCTTCATTTTGATGACAATCCCTCCCTGTTGTAGGACTACCTTCGCGTCGTTGCTGTTCTCATCGTCGATGTTCTCATTGTCTGCTTTCACTACTTCATCCCCTTCTTTGGTCTCCAAAGAGTCCGTCAATTCATGTGTCACTTCTCTGTCGTTATTCAGAGGTATTTCGAATTCAATGACTTTAATGTCTTCCATCGGCGGTTCACTTATGACTTCTTTTGCCGCTTCCATCACTTCTTTATCACTCACTTCACTCTCGTTGGTCTCCATTGCCTCCACTTTTGGTTCACATTCCACAACAGATTCACTCACAACCGGTTCACTTAACTCTTGTGGCGAAACATCACAATTGGTGTCACTTTTGTCGATGTCTTCCGAGTTCTCCGTTTGGAAGGATTCCTCAACATTTGTTTCCTCTTTAGTTTCGACAACACTTTCACTTAATTGCTGTTCAATTCGTTCAGTCTGTGCCAACACATCGTTCAGACACAACGGATGATATATTTTGTTGTTATGTTTGACCGCATTCTCGAGCCTCCACTCCTCTTCCTCTTCATTCCAGTGCTGATCAAACTTTTCATGACAAACGGCACAATAGTTTAGTGACTCGTCTTTTTCTGCGATTACAGTCAGAACGGAAGGCTCTTCTTCTTCATCGGATACTTGTTCTTCAGTTGGGAAGAGTCCAGTCGTGTCCTCCTCTTCAGTCACTTCGTTGTACTGAATCCAGAGATTCAACGGATAGAACCAATTGCGGCGCAGGGATGTGGCACTGGAGTTAGGCTTTGCTTTGTCTCTTCGGTTTTGTCTGAAATGCCAGTCCAGATGTTTTGAATACCGAGTCTTATCTCCTGAAGCCGTCTGATCGCTGTCGCCATCAAAACGTAGCGAACAGTTAGTACACTGAATGCCATTATAAAGCGCGGCCACAACACTGGGACGACTCATCTTCAGTGAGTCGGACTTCAATTCAATCGGCGATTCCTTCGACACTATATTCTCACGCCTTCTCTCTTTTGTATCCTTTTTCACGTCCTTTGGTATTGGTTTGGTTGCCTCGGGTTTGGAATTATTAATATTATTATTATTAATACTATTAGTATTACTATTTGTATTATTATTAATCATTCCGGCGGCGAGTAATTTAGATAACAAGTCGTTCACATCACCCGTTTGACGGACGGGTGCACTACTGTTCACAACATTAGGCATCATATTGTTTGTCGCTTTATTTATAATATTAGTCCACAAATCAAACCTCCGGTTATCAGAGAGTTTAACTCTAGGCGTCGGGGCGTCCAGAGTGAGAGAGTGTGGGCCCGTGGGGTCGCCTTCGAACCACACAGTGATGGCCGGACCACCAAATTTTGCGGGATAGGACTGACCGTTCAGAATGATCTCCTTTGCCGGTCCGCCAAACTTGATTCGCTGAGGAATTGGATTATTGTTCGGCTGAAACAGTCTCTCCTGTCCGTTGAACTCGAGCGTAACGAAGTCCAAACACCCCCTGTCCTGATCGATGAATACTTTTGTGGGCTTCCCCTCGAAACTGATTTGTCTCGGATCTAATGCCTTGGGGTCGACGTTAATGAGTTGCGTAAACGTCGCGTTTTGGGGAGCGTTTAACAGCACAACAGCTGTCGTGTCGTCCAAATAGAAGAGTTTCCTGAGCTTCCCGTCCACTGGGATTGTCATCGGCTCCGGGATTGAGGAGTTCATCACAACCGAGTTGTTCTGCGCCTCTCTTATCTGTCGCTGCACTTCACGGACTAAGACGTCGTGATCGGCACTACTTATAACGCCGGAGCGCAGCTTCTCTTTGGCGTCACTCATCATTAGATCCAATTCTTTCCTGTAGTCCCTGTCCTGACCCCATGAAGGGAATGAGGGCTCAATTGGATTGGACAGGTGTTGAGGTCCAGAAATCTGACTGATATGACTGGTAATCGGTGGCCTCATTGTACTCGAACTCATTGTCGTCACAACACTTGAATCAATGCTGTTTGAAATGCTGAGCATTTCTGGTTGAGCCAAAATGGTCGGCGCCGGTATTGTAGTGGGAACTGGTGGTTGACTTGAGTGCCCAGACACTAGGTTTGACGAAAGGGAATTCACAGAAGACTGAATGGGAGGCAACGCGACAACACTTTGCTGAGGAATATATGGTTTAACAGCATTTGGTGATCGACTTCGAGGTCTGTGCGCATTGTTTGGCCTCAACCCATAGGAAGGACTTTGTTGTCTATTCAATGGCTGCGGACTATCTCTTAATCTCTCGTTAGGACTTTGAGTCCACCGATGGGGAGAACTTCGACTCTTTTGACTGATAGGACTCGGACTCCGATGGCTTCGACTTCTTTTGCGTTTTTTAATCTTCTTTCTGTTCGGACTATTCGGACGAAGCATTTGCTCCTTTTGTTTCAGTTTCTGCTCCTTTTCCTACAAAACAATACAAATATAAATCTCTTATTGATTAAGAATTTCAAAAGTAATACAAAATTATTTAAACATTTAATATTCAATTCAATTCAAGTGTTTAATTGTCATTCAAATAGTTAACTAAATTCTCATCTAATCTTAAGACAAACCGTTTTGAACACCACATGAGTGACTAGTTTTATGAATTAATTAAGAGGTAATGAAAAATTGATTTTATTGTTGACACAAATATAATCAAATAAAACATTTGAATTGAACATAATTAACATATAGTGGGCGCTATAGAGGGGTCGGTGCACAACCTGTAGAGCCCGGGCCTGTTCGGCCAGCTTTCGCTTCTCGTTAAGCATTTCTAACTCGAGTTTCTGCTTCTGGAGCTGAAGTAATTCGTTCTGCTTTTGGATCAGTTGTTTAGCTAACTCTGCCTCCGGACCCGTCGGGATCGGCGGATGAAGGTTAGGGTCGTTGAAGAACTTGGGGTTAATGTGAACGCCTTGAGGGGCCGGATGTGCGGCGGCGGTGGCAGTGGTGGCGGCCGTCGTGCTGGACGTGTTGGCCGGTCTCACCACTGATTGCAGAGTGGGTCTCGAGTTATTGGTAGGTCTGGGGTCGGCGTGTGGTTTGGGAGCAGTGATAGGCCACGCGGGGTCTAACGATGACTTGATCCTGGAGTCGATGGCGTAGAGCTTTTTGGTCGGGAAGATCGTGGCCCACGTCTGCCGCAACTTATACAACGAAAGTCTCGTCTTTTCGTCCACTTTCTCGAAGACCTCGCAAAACGTGGACACAATGTTCTGCGTGAAGAGCCGCACGTAAACGTTGCCCACATTCTTGCAGATGGAGTCCAAGAGGTAAATGATGGGCAGCTTCTTGTCGGCGGTGACGGTGTGCAGCCTCTGCTCGATGGCCGCCACGATCTGCGGGGCCTTTGAGTCCTTGTAGTCCTCCGACAACATCGTCAACATGTTTATCAATGGCTTCGAGTTGAACGACAAGTCATTCAGCGACGCCTTGTATTCGCTGATGGGATCCGCCTCCGAGTCCATCCTCTGTAGTGACGATCGTATCGACGGCACAGGTCTTTCGTCAACATGTTTATCAATGGCTTCGAGTTGAACGACAAGTCATTCAGCGACGCCTTGTATTCGCTGATGGGATCCGCCTCCGAGTCCATCCTCTGTAGTGACGATCGTATCGACGGCACAGGTCTTGACGGTTGAGGTCTTCGTTGTGACAAACGATTAGGAAATGAAAATTGAGTCAAATATGAGACATGAAAACCAAAACAAATGAATTAATTTGTGGCGAAAACTGATGTCACGTTGCGTTCAATGCATTACAATATATTGTCTCTCGTTTTCATCAATCAAATCAACAAATCGTCAATAAATGTATGAATTGTTTATTATTTCAAATCAATATTAATATTAAATACAAATCTTATAACAAATTAAATGTTGTTTTTCTTATCGTTTTTGTCATCCACTCCGATGTGTCTGACATTCTATTCACGAATCACGTGACACAACGTGACTTTAATTGTGCGCAAAACAGAGCCCCCTTTTGGCGCCCCTTTGTGTAGCAGTCGTTGTAATGAATAGGTTTAGCCGACACTTACCGGTGCCGTAATGTTTCGTACTTTTGCCATATCTCATGCACCTTTTAGGCCATACTCACTACCCGTCCGATCGACCAATATATCACCAAATTGTTAGTAATTTACAATTATATTTAACACAAATATACTTTTCTATAAAAATGTTATTTCTTGTTATTTTAGCAAAATTAAAGTGATTTACAGTTTTGTTACAGTGTTTGCCAAAAACAGTTTTAACTATATATTTTAGATTTAATTTAATTGTTATCACAGAAAATAAATAAGAATTAATAATAAGTTATATAATTATATAAGAATTTGGTTCACAAATCAATATAAAATAAAAACATAATACTATTATTGTGTGATTCGACGGCCCTTTCTCTGTCTACTCATAACTTGTGTGTCAATCCTAATTCAAATCAAAGTATACATTAAAATCAACAAAAATTACAGTAAAGGCCAGAGTTATGCCACACAAACACATTAACCGTTCATTATCTCTACCACTCCTACCGTTAATACATAAAATATTTTCACTTTTCTCAACAATATTTCAGTTTTTTATAAGTATTTCTTAGAGTTTGAAAACCATTTGCAATTATTTCATGTGATTTATTGTGACATAACTATAGTCTCAGTGAATAAATATATGAAACTATTGTTAATTTCATAAATAAGAGCAGAGATGACAACACATCAGAAGTGAACAAATGAAGTGTCAATTAGAGAATATTGTTAGCGATTTCCTCGTCATAACTGTTATAATAGAGGATAACATTCACAGATTAGTCGACAATTTGTTAGAGAAAATAGAGAGATAGACACACAGATACCATTGTAAGCTATTGACAGTTAAAAACATTGAATATAAACTGAGTTATGAATGCAATCACAAGACTTACATTTTGACGGCATCTGGAATAGCGATGTGCTCTATAGGTAAGAGAGCACTCAATTCGGCTAAACTTCCCACGAATTTAAGTTTCTTCGAAAACTTCGAACTATAGTTATAATGAGTTTTAGTTCACAACTCGTGTGCAAAGGATTACAGGAATACCTGATGAATGGTTTGCTCATAATTATCAGAGTCTTCAACCAGAAGGTCGGGTGAACTAAATAAAGTCCTTTCAAATTCTTCTTCAGTTTCCTGTCCATCATATAATAGCATCGCTTAAGCCATCCAAATGTAGGCATATTATTGCCGAGAGTGGAGACCCCGGCGTTATGGAAGTATATGAGGATATAGTCGTCCGCAATCAGGTTATGGAGAGTCGTCAACACATACCTAAACACAAACTTTCTATTATTCTATGCCCACAAACAAAGTGAAATCAAATCACATGAATAGGTGGTCCATAACATAATTGTAGTCTTTTCGTGAGCGGTCGGGCAGATAACAGGCAGAGAACACTATAATCGCAGGACTTGAACCTATTGGACAACCATTTATGAAATACTCTTACCGTATATTATATGCAAACCTGACTGATGACTGTTCCCAATAGTCGAGTGAAAGTATCCACCGTGTGATATGACTTTTTTGTACGGATCGATCACTTTCATATCAATTACTTTAACGTCACCTTCGGGTCCAATAGGACACGACTCCCTCCAGCCTCTCGTTTCATCCAACTCTTGGCGCGCTGTTAGCTCTGCAATCGTATCCGATGGCCCGCCATTACTCTCTTTATCTGAGAATTAAAACATTCCTTAAATAAGAAATTATTTCAAATTAAACACAAATACTTTACCATTAAATTCGTCGCTTTTAAAGAACTCTCGATTCACTGGTATCTTCTTTTTGGTAGTCGACGGCCTCCGAACCAATCCTTTTACACATTATTTTGAAACATTAATTTCATAACAAATTACCAAAAATAACATTAATATAAGAAATGAATAGAAGAGAAGTGAAGACAGTATCAGAGCTTGAAATCAATGATCAGACGATCACCAGAAGAGCAATGAGTTTTTGGAAGCGTTTTTACATTCATTCTAACCTTTACTTTCAGACTCTTCGTTGCCATTCAAAGTGTTGACATTTAAATCAATATTTGTTTGATTGGAATCAAAATTAATTGTCTCAAAATTGGCGGACAGGGGATGATTGGAAGGGGTGGCACTCGACCCAACACCGGGGCTTAAGTCATCGGAAGAATTAAGGATTTGCTGGATATTAATTCGTGGACTGATTTTCTTTCTCTGACTTTGTGTGAGAGAAGTATTGCGTTTGAATGGAGAGATCTCATCCCTCTCTTCACTCAGCGTTTGGCTTATGTCTGATTCAGAGGTAGGATTCGGTTCGTGATTGGGAACAGTCAACAACGACTGCATCGGAGTCTGGCTCCCATTCCCATTCCCATTGCCTTCCTTTTCTGTATTTTCATTGTTTTGTTCAGTTGTTTGGTTTGCATTTAATTCATTGGAATTCGTTTCTAAATTAGCAAACGATTTAGAAATTATAAAAAACTATACACAAACACAAAGTGACATTTAGTTTATTCAATAAATACCGGCATTTAGTGTTTCTTCACTCGAGGAATGTTTGGGTTTTGGATTGTTTTGTTCGTCCGGATTATCATTATTTCCCGTATATATAATGGATTCGGGACCAAACGAATCAAAATCAAATTCCATTTCATTAGTCAATCCATTATTTAGAGTCCAATTGCTATCTAAATCATTGCCATCTTTATCACCATCATTATCGGGATAATCGCCCACTAATTCACCGACAAATGAGTCTTCAATATATGATCCGTACACTGATTCTGGATTATGAACTTTGGAGACATCAATGTTTGGTATTTCAAGCTCTGATTCTTTATTCACTTCTGTTTTCTTAGTATTTGGGGAACCATTTGGTGTGTCTGACAATCGCATGAAAAAGAATGCATTAATAACTGTTCAAAAAGTCTAACCTTTTGCTGGCGAAGGCGGAAAGGAACGCTCGTTCGTATCCTATATATTGATTGAAATGTTATTTTTGATTGTTTGGAGAGAAAGTTAAGCATCGATTCAAACAATTCAAACCTCAGTTCCCAACGAACTATATTGAGGCGACTCAAGAAAATCTACGGTTTCGGGAATATAATTGAGAACAAAGTCTGGGTCGACGTCTGCAGTCGAGAGCGCTTTTAGCAGTTTTTTCCGATTATTCGGAGATTTCGTGCTATCATTATCTATTGATATATTCCGATAGACTTTATAATCATTAGAACTAAACATTTATTTAATAGTTTATTTGAAAATATATGTTAAACAATGAAAAGTCAATTCATTAAATGAAATCAAGTTAAGACTAAACATAGGCATCAAAAGAATCAACTTTCAAATACCTGTGCCATTGGTATCGCTGAGGGATGAAATCAAAGGTAAAATTTGTTTTCGAGAGGCCTTCACATTCTTCTGGTTATAAATTCGTAAATCATTGAACTCTTTGGTTAAACTCAATTCAAGGCCATTGTTTTCGGACTCAAGTTTTGATACAATCTGTTAAAAATTATTTTTTTTTAATAAAATCCATTTACACCGATAATAACTGATTAAAAACTGGTAAAATCGGTAAAAACTGATTTAAATGCCAAACCTTCTCCATGAGTGTCGTATTTGTGGTAAAGATGGCTAAATCGCGGCTTAAATTATCTGCGATTCTGTTATCAATTCCCAATATAATGATGGCATCGAATCGATTGCTCGCATTTGCGGTCAACTCTCGCATAAGTTGACGATTATTTTCTAAGTCCAGATCAGAGACCAATTTGCCGGATATGGATGATATGATAATTCTTGTGTTGGGAACTAATTTCTTATCCTTAAGTAACAACTGCTCGAATGACATATTATTAGTGGAATTCTTGGCATCGATCAGCTGTTTAAACCACTCCGACCGAGAGATGGTCTTGTCCTCAATGATTGCCTCCAAGTCTTTGACAACACTTTTATCTTTTTCGCTGTACTTTTGAGCGCTTTCTGAGAAGTTAATCGTATCTGAAATCATTGAGACAACAATACAATTGTATGCAATCATAGAAATCAATGCATTTCAAACCCAATATAATGGTTCCGAAGAACATAAGAGCCAATTGTGTGTCTCCTTTCAAATCACTTTTAAGAAAGCGTTCGGCGATTAGTGTGGAACAGGAGCCGACCGACACGTCGACCAACACTTTCGACGGATCAGTTACGAGACAATGGTTTGCGTCATATTTGTGGTGATCAATGATTTCGACAATTTCGCCAATTCTTGCCATCTCTTCGTTCACGTTGTGGTCGACTAATGTGATCAACACTTTCTCTGCAATAATGACCAATAAGTGACAAGTTTTACATCAACCCTACAATGCATTACTTGTCTTAAGTGTCTGCCAATCGATTTCATCCCTACAGATGAGGTCATCGCGACTCAAATGCACGGAGTTTTCAAACCAAAAGATCACTTCCGTCTTCAGTTGGAGTTCACTGCGAGTTGTGTTCAACACTGGGATTATTAGTCGCTTATTGGACTCCACTTCCTACAAGACATTAGACATGATATGAGAGATGGAGGACAACGGGTGTCCATATGTTCACTCACTTTACACGACATGTGTTTAATGAAGGCCAGACCGACGGCACTGACAGCTGAGTCCAGATCACAGCTCTCATTGCCCACCACTAACTCTATCGGATCAGTCCATTGAGCCAATGATGCCTGCAATGAGATAATCAATCACACCATGAGTGCAACCAAATCACAAGACCTGGTCATCACTATATCAGACCAATTGTTTCCTGCAATTCTCCAAATAGTTATCCATTTGTTTGATTAAATGCCTTTTGATTGGACTCGCGATGAATGCAATCAATTATACAACAAAAAACTCATAAAAGCATTTCATAAACACGAAAATTATAATAAATTAAATCAAATGTAAAGTTAATAACAATTGAAAGCAATCCGTGTTTTAATAGCAATCGACAGCCAATTGAGTGACTGTTTCACTGAATCCTGGAAATGGACTTCAAGTTAAAGAGACATAACTGTCAGCTGACGAACACAGTCATGAATGTCAACCATCAATACGGATGTGTGCGGGAAGTGAGGCCTACTGCAGATGAGCGCATCGTCCGACACATGCATCCAATGGATGCCTTCAACTCCGTTCAACACCTCTATTCATACGATGAATACATTTATTGACATTCACTGAACGCTTGCATAGGATTTCAGAGGAGTAGGCGTTTTCCATAGCAGTGATCACTACAGACATTGCATTTGATACACAATTTAAGTTGAATTCAATTGAATTGGGTTTGCATTGAGTGTTAAGTGATGGCGAGTCAGACACAAGGCATTCAACAACTATTGACGGCCGAGAAGAGGGCGGCGGAGAAGGTATAGTGAAGTGGTTGATGGATGTGATGTGACTTAATGGTAATGTGTTGTTGTGGTGATTAGGTCCAAGAGGCCCGCAAACGAAAGGCCCGGCGTCTGAAACAGGCCAAAGACGAGGCCAACCATGAGATCGACAAGTTTAAGGCCGAGAGGGAGAAGCAGTTCCGCGACTACGAGAGGCAACACATGGGCTCCAGGTTTGTACCACCGATGCACTCATCCATTGACAGTGTGTTCGTAATGATTGTCATATATCTTGTGGATAATAGGGACGACATTGCGGCCAAAATAGAGGCGGAAACTCGTATTAAGATGGATGTGATGAATAAGAGCGTCGGTTTGACTAAAGACAAAGTGATTGAAGACCTGTTGGCTCGAGTGATATGTGATGTGAAGCCACAGCTCCATAAGAACCTGAGACTCGAAGATCTCAAATGAGTTATCGTTTGAGTAGTAGTTGTAATGCAATGTAACTCACATTCCCTTTGATTTTAATATAAATATATTACTCAAGAAGTGAATTCAACTGAAATGTTAAACACATTTATTCGTATAAAACATTTGAAAAGTCATTACAATATTCAGTGTTTTTAATTATACTGTAATTATATTTAGAAATGAATACAAATTCAATAATTATTAGAAAGCAATTATAAACTTATTGAAGAGTTATTGACATCTCATGTGACTGTTTACTGTTTAATCCGACTTATCATTAATCAAGTCTTAAATTAAAAGATATATTAAATTTTAAAATAAAATAAATAGTGAATTAAATCAAATAACCGATATCTTTAATATCACAGCAATGATATGAATGAAATCATTGGAATAAAACTATTAACGAAAATCAACTAATTATACAAAATTATATCTCAACTAAACTCCACAATAAGAACTCTTATAAAAAGCTTTGTTTTTAGATAAACAGTGACAAGAAATGGAAAAAGAGTGGGCAATAGAGGAGCTTAAGGCACAACTGTAATGAATTGATCGATATTTGCCATCAGAACCGGTAAAACCAAGTCATCCATATTAGGCATAACCAACACTTTAGCGAACTCTGCGCGCAGTTTGCGCTCAATTATATCCGTCACATGACTTATACTGACTTCGTGTTCGCCTAACTTGGGTCGGGCGGACAGGACTAGATCGGGATTGCCTCGAAAGCCATACCACAGACGATCGGTCGGCGGCTCCGGGATATTAATCGCTGCAAACAATACACAACAAACTCATCAATATATTTGTCTCGTAATTAATTTATTATATGCCAACAGACCTAATGTCCCGTTAAGTGTCTGTATTTGAACAGTTAGTATAAGTGCTGTTTTGGACACCCCTTCCATGGCTCGCTTCACGTACTTGTTTTTATTTGTCTCGTAATTAATTTATTGTATGCCAACAGACCTAATGTCCCGTTAAGTGTCTGTATTTGAACAGTTAGTATAAGTGCTGTTTTGGACACCCCTTCCATGGCCCGCTTCACGTACTTGTTTTCGGCCACTTTCTGGAAATACTGCGACGAAGCGATTTTGTCGACAAACTTGAGAATCTTCTGTTGCTTTTTGGTGGTGTCGGCGTCTTCTGGATCTACGGGCGGCTTGTCTTCCATCTCTTCATCAGAACTGGTCATTATTGAGTCGCTCTCGTTGTCCGACAGATCCAATTCAGATCTCTCGGCAAAACTCTTCATCTCTTGAGAGCCATTCGCCTGTTCTTTAAGTTTCATTAGATTTAGTTTGGTTTCCAAAGTCATTGTAAAACCGCCTGTCATTGCATACAAACAAATGTTACACAGAATTCAAATCAATTGAACTGAATATTACCGGAATAAGTGATATCGAAATCAATCCAAAGACCTCTCTTATCAACGAGTGGTGGGTTAGGGATTGAATTGAATTTGGGTAAAGTGTTTCCCACATCTATTTCGGTGATAGTCAACGACTCCATGAAATATGGAAGTCTTAATCGCCGCAGTTTTCTCTGGATTTTGGCGGCGATATAAGTCGACCAAAACTGCTCATTCAATATATCATAACAGATGCGACCGATCAGTGCGTTAAACCACGACAGGGAAGACGTGTCGTCAGACGACGACTTAAAAGCCATTAATTTATCCATAAATAAGTTATAATCTAATTGTTTGGAGAGAATTAACAGCTCTTTTGAAGGACTTGTGGGTGAATTTGAATTCGAAGAACAAGTTGTAGCGCTTTGTATGGATCCGAGATCTAAGGAATGGGATCGCGGAAGGGATTCAATCTCAGCAGTCATTACGTCTGAGGCTTCGACGGGCGTCGGCGGGGGACTCAATGCCCCCATCGATACCGATGGATACAAATTCTGTTGAATCTTTTGTCTCAATTTCCAAAACCATTCCTCTTTCTCACGACAGTTACGGATAAATAAAATCAGTTTAGTTATACTCTTAGTCTTGATATCTTCTAATTCGAGACAAATGGGGTATTTCTTGCTAAACACGTACTTCTTCTGATTGCGGACACTCTTCGGCAAAAGGAGATACACTTTCTTATGTGATATTTTCGATAAATCAAAGAATCTCTGGGATATAAATACTGGCAATGAGTTTGAGTTCAATTTATTCTTCTTAATCATGTGTTTAGGCTTTGAAAGTCTCAGATTAGAGTCTTGAAGGCGGAGGTAAATCAACTGAACTTTAAAACCAGAATCCCTTTCCTCGTAATTGCCAACCAATTCATAAACCCATCCCTTTTGGATCTCTTCATCTTTCGGAACATCAACGATAGGGACATCTCTTTTGGCTGAATCTCTTCTAATCGGTGTCTTAACCACCATATAATTGGATATAATGTAAACAAATATCACTGAAAACACTACGAGAGTTAATACGGATCCAAACAATAGGCCGCTTATAAATGAGTGGACCGGCAATGATAGCGATATAACCAACGATATCAATGCTATTATAAGGGCTGTTATGTTAAATATTTGGCTATAACTCCACAATTGTTGCGATTCTTCGATGTCTGGCTGCAGATTGAAATCAATGTCTTCATTGGACTCATTCGAGACAATCGATTCGCTAATCTTTGGTTTGCTATCAATCTGTTCGGGGATTTGGTTTTGTGCTAAAGAGTAGTCCATCGCCGAGACAAACGACTCGTCCGCGTAATCAACGGATAATTCGTTTATTTTGTGTCCATTGCTCTCATCGATGGTATCATTAATTATATTCTTAATCAACGGGTCTTTTGTTTGACTATCAGTTTCATAGGTTTTCGTGTCCATCGGATCGGTGGCGCCCGACGTCTGTCTCAACTCTTTCTCGCGTTTCCTTTCGTCGATCTTCTCCTTAATCTTGCCTTTGATATCATTAAACCAATTGGAAGTGATTCCCGTCTCTCTGCCACTCTCTTCGTCCAAACTCTTTGTTTTGTTGAGTCGAGCGGTGATGAAGTCTTTGACTGTCGGCCGCTCGCGACTCACACCCGAACCACTCAAATGACTGGCATTGAGATCAGCGACAGATGTGTCCACAGAACTGATCGACTCATTCATCAGATCCAGGGATGACTCGTCTTTCACTTCATTGAAGGTGTCGTTGGATTCGAGCACTTCTTCGAGCAGATCGTCTTCATTGCGATTGAACCGAAAGGTCGGTGTCTTTGTACGTAAGGGTTTGGACATCACTGGCGGATCAAGTGGTGCGCAAATTGTGCTCAAAGTCAGCGCTAATTACAGTTATATTAAGAGGCGTTTGGTTTGCAATCAAAACGAAACTACTTATCAAAACAATTGTCAACAAAATGGTCTTCAATTGAGTGATAATTTTGTAAACAATCGTCTCATAAGACTCTGTGACACGAATTGGTCTCACATTTCGCGATAACAGCTATAAGTTGTGATAAAATAGATATTAAACGAGATATAAATGCGAAACAATTAAATGACTTTCACTTTGTTTAACAGATTAGCGTATATTTGCATTGCATTCAAGTTTCATGAAATTTATTGCATTATGTAATCATTGCTCACTTCATAGGCAATGAATGAATGCATTGCTGTTGAAATGTGTGAACGCTATGCAGTGACCAATCATTGCATTCACTGTCACTTCACTACGGTATGCATTCAATGACAGGTCTATTCATACAATTAGTTCATGTTTTCCATTCAATTGACTACTTATTAATTGTTATAATTATTTATTATTACTTTTTTAACAACAACTGCATTAATGCAAATAATTTCTATTTTTAACTAAATTGGTTTTTCAAATTCAATACTTTTTCCTCGACTTATCAATGTTTTCCTCAAACTCTGAACAAAATTATACTTTTTATTAGAACTTTATAAATATTTATTACTATAGAGTAAATCACAACTATTATAGTTTATTATTTCATAGCAATTTAGTATTCTATACTACAAACAATGCTTTAAATATATGTCATTTTTATATCCAACACAACAGTTGTATTTTAGACAACTATTACAGCTATTTTTATGAATAATTGTAAATATGTGGACTATTATTATAAATATTAATTTTTGAAGGGAAACAGGAATTTCCAATTTTTATGACCATTTTATAGTACAGGTATATATTTTAGACAACTATTACAGCTATTTTTATGAATAATTGTAAATATGTGGACTATTATTATAAATATTAATTTTTGAAGGGAAACAGGAATTTCCAATTTTTATGACCATTTTATAGTACAGGTATACAGTATTAACTGTAAATAAATATGATATATTATTATTTTGTTGTTTAATGTCTAACACTGAATGACAAATTATATTTATATTAGTGTATTATTAATAATAACTTTTATAAAATTATCATAATATCTTAAAATACATAAAACTTAACATACAACTTGTACATGTACATACATTCTTTACCACGTTTTATTGTAAACTAATTTATTATATTAGAATTTTATATTATAACATTATATTGGTGTTATAGTAAAATTACCTTGATAATACATTACTTACGAATTTATGAAGGTATTTTACAATAAATATAATTGAACATATATTATCTAAATAGTATAGAATTTGAAATGCCTTTAAGTATGAAGAGAAATAATCAGGGATACTCTTAACATATTATGTACTGTAGTTCTCACGGGACGGACTTTATTTAATAATGAAATATTAGAAGTCATGGTATCAAATATAATGATCATGGTATATTTTATGTAACTTTATAGTCAACTTTTTGAATAGATATTTATTATTATATAATACAGTAATATAATACAATTTAAATGAAATATTTTAAAAATTTAGACTTTAAACTAGCTGTATTATGAAAAGATTTTGTTTAGAGGCTAATATTTATTTATTTATTTTTATAACTGTATAAATTAATATTTGACTTAATATTTAGTTTAAGGTCTAATAACTTTTCTAAAACAGAGTTCAATAATTGAACTTGGATTCTTCAAATATTATATTTCTATAAAAGCAAATCGTTATCCAATGATTTAAGACTTATTTAT